ATGGAGCCCGGCAACTTCATAGCGCAGGACAACAACTGGTAACAGCCCCGCCGGCCCGGCCAGCACCGCTGCTCTGCCCCTGCTCCCGGCCACCTTCCCCTCCCGCCCCGCGGCTCCGCGCTGACAGCTCTCGTGTGGCTCTAAAGAGCGTGTGCGCTGGGTAATGCTTGGTTAAAGAGTCAGGGCTTTTCGAGCTGGCTCCAGTGCACCCCTCCTTCCCCCGGCTGAGGGGTCGGGGCATCTCGTCAGCCAACACAGTAATGGAATGTATATGAAATGTAATGAGTAATGTAATGTAAATGAAAGTATATTTAAAAGGACATTGGTGCTTACTTTTTGACCTCCTCCGCTTGTTAACAAAACATAGTTTAAAAGCAGCGCGTTCACATGCAGTGTTTGAAACCTCTGCAAAGTATTTTCCTATTAGCTCTGAGTCAGACAATGATAATTTGTATAGAAACTTGCTGTTTGGAGATGGAAGTTTAAAGATTCCTGCTAAAGTGCTGTGCTTTGTGACATCAATAGTTGGGTTGGCGTGTTGGGTTTTGTTTTTCTTTTTAATGAAAGTTTTCAAAGTAATCTTAAATATTTGTTGATTTCAGGAAAAATCGTGTTGAAAGTGAACGAGATTCTGCAAAAAGATGGGCTGAAAAATGGGGATTTTTGAAAACACCTCTGGAGGAGGTAAAATTGAATGGGATATGATATGGATTTGTGCACAAATTTATCTGGAAACAAAGTTATGAGAGCATAGAAGACCAGAAATTTACTGAGTATGCTTTACTACACTGGCATCCAAGGTAGTAATTGTACTACTTTATAAATGGTTCAAATTTTCAGTTTTCTTCAGAATAAAATACATCTAGTGGTAATTTATATGCTGTGCATATTCTGATGTATTTCTCTTGAGAAGCATGACTCCTAATAGTGCTAACAAGTACTAGATGCACACTGACAGGAAAATATTTCCCCTTTGTCTCTCCATATGGTATTTTAAAAATCTAGGGGAAAAGGTTCCAGCTAATTAAATTGTCAGTGGGGGAATCTACAACAAATGAAAATATTTGGAGTGATGTCTCTTCTCAGTGATGTTTAGATATTAGAGTACAGTAGCACATGATGTTACATTTGGAATCACAGTATTTCATTGCTAAAAAACAGGATTGATGCAGTCTCTGCATTGTTATAAATGTAGTTTGCATGTCTTCTGAAACAAAAAAAATTCAGTAATTTCCAAAGCACTGAAATAAGTAATCCTGCTTGAGGTGGAAAGAACAGGAAGTTCATATACAACAATGAGGAGAATGGTGTGGATATCACATATTATAAAGTATTTTAAAAGACAAAGTTTTAAAATATTTTAATGTTGTTAAAATATTTAATTTAAATATTTTAAAAAGTTTTTAAATATGTTTTTGTTTTAGTTGATTGGAGATGAAAAGAAAGGAGATGCAAAGCCCAAGCTACAGCTTCCAGATCACCTGCGGGTTCGACCTGTGACACCTGTGGAAAAATACATTAAGGTTCAAAAATTAGATTTTAAGATGGCAATACAGCAACATCTGTCTTAGGAAACCACACAAGCTCTGAAAACCAGTTGTCTTATAGAGGGGGTCTTTAACCAAAGGTCAAAGTAAACTGCATTTGCAAGCCAAACTATGCTTTAAAAGCATTTGTTTAAGACAAGGAATTGCCCTTTGGATATGGTTGTAATTTTTCTACCTTTATTTAAGAGTCTGCTTTTTGGCAGAGGCAATACCACTGTCCTCTTCAGTACCACAAATTAATAAGAAGCCAGTTCTAATCAGCCAAGTCATAATTATTTTGTTTTATATGATTTATATGTACATTCAGAGTCTTAAAGCTGTCAAACAGCTGGAGAGTAGAATATGACTGATGGTTTAATTTATAAATACAGTGTGTCAGGGTCACCAATGAAAAGGGTGACTCTACAGGCAACTAAAGCAGTGACATTGGGAGAGGAATGTACTCACAAAAGGGGAAGCAGAGGACAGTTAGTCCACTTAGAGAAGATTAGGGAAATAAAAGAGATTGGAAATTCTTACTTGCTGAACTAGCTTTCTTTCAAAGGATTCCAAGGGTGGGGAGATAAGGTAAGGAAGTAGTAAAAGCTTTTACTGAGATTACATTAAAATAAAAATTAAGAGCTAGTGCTGAGTGTGGTAAAGAAATGAAATGGCATAATTTCTGCCATTACTGCTACTTGCTCTTCAGTTTTGTCCCAAACCTCCAATCTCAGTCCAGTTGCAGTTTCAGTGGAGTCTCAGCCCCATGAGGGTGTTGGTGCATTAACAAACCCTGCAGTCACCAGCTGCTCCACAAGTGTGCAGAGAGTGGTGCACATTGGAACAGAGTTTCCATTTCACCTCAGAACTGGGAGGAAGAGAAGGGTTGGCTGTGATTTAGGTCACCCGTTACATATTCAGAGTGAAGTTTCATACATCCTTTTCAGAAGTGTCTTTCTGCACATTTACCTTGCGGTAACAGTCAAATCTGTTCTCTCTAGGTTAGACTAATAAAAGCTCCTGCATAGTCCCCTCCCCCAGACTGAAAGTGGGACATGATTTCCTTCATTATCCTGCTCAGTGGGTGGCACTTTTGGCCATAAAAATTATCTTTTCTGAGGAACTGCTCCACCTAAATATCACAAACATTTTCTAATCTTGGCCAAAGAACAAAGTGAAGCAACTCTGGCAAGAGAACTGAAACATTGTTCTCTTGCTGTGTATTTCTCTGCTAAGTCCCCAGATGCTGAAATGATAGAACGTGCCCAATTGAGATGATTCAGCCAAAGTAAGCACAGCAGTCACTGAACAGAGTCTGCTGGCTTTTGTTTTGTTTCCTTTTTAGCTAGATTAGTTGCAGATTAACTTGCTGCTCACCCATCTTTTAAAGTAGAAGGAAGGTAGAATGAATAAGTAGTTCTTGATGTGAAAGCCAGCTTGCTCAGTAATATCTCTGGCATTTGGATTTAAAATTATTATTCCATAGCTGCATTGCTATCAAGTATATTACAGCAAGGAGAAAACACTATTTCTCTCATTTACAGAAGTTAATTAGTTTTAAAGATGATTATCTTTGGCTTGAGCCTTTTCCATACATTATAATTATATAAAATATTCTAATAATGTTAAGCAATTAAAGACCTTAGTATTGAACCAAACTTGGTAAAAATAAATTCCAACGTACTCTACTAGACAATGACTTGATTTTGGTTTTAGGACACTACAGCACAAAAGACAATGTTGCATGACAGAAACTTCAACCAAAAACCTTTTCATCATTCAGTTTTACATGTTACTTTGATTTTAGGTGCTTCCATCTCCTCCAGTACCTAAAACTACCCAGGGATTTATTGGCTGGAGATCAGGTGTTCCAGAACTGGCACTTGAACATGATTATCAAATTCAAAGCTGCAAAGGAACCGTCCGTAGTATGAAGTGACCATGTGAGCCCTCTGAGTGGCATTATGAAATAAAGAGGCACAAAGATCCATCTGTATTCCTAAGGAAATATCCTGTGGTGGACTGCTGGACTGTTGATCATTCCTGCTATTTATGTAGAAATCCACAATCATTTTGGTGAAGTGTGAACATTTTCATTTTACTTAATTGAATCAATGGCATCCAAGCTGTTAACTCTGCTTCAGAGCTTCTGCTTGTAACTTAGAAATAACAATTAATAAACTCAGATGAAGATCACAGAGCATGTACTATTTTTTTAGCACTAATACAACTATAATTTAAACATATTCATTGGAAGTTGGAATGACAGTGCAAATATAATTGTTTCTTCATGAGAATCTACTCATGAAATACACTGGGTTCTGTGTTGAGTACACTTTGCAGCTATTTTCTGTAGTTACACATATAAGTAAGTGAATAGTTCCCAGTAAAGAAAGTACACAAAGGCCACAGTGACACAAAGTCACTTTGAAAAATCAGTTTTAGTATCAAAACAGGATTTTCCATTAGTTGATCAGTATGCAACTGGATTACAAAGGATTTCTATCACCTCAGTTTTGTGTGTACCGATATTTGCACCAAGCAGGGAGAGATGCTCAGAGCCAGCAGGTGGTTACACTGGGAGTTGCTGGGGTAGCTCCCTCAGTGCCTTGGAGTTCAGTCTTGTACTTCACTATGCACCTGAAGATTTGCCAGGATTTCTGGAAACTCGGGAGACTCATAGAGCTGCAGCAACTGTTTGCACAATATAACTCTAACGTGCCACAGTGTTCAAACCAGAAGGTTTAAACAAAAAAGAGCCTCCAAGAAATCAAGACAGGCAGCTCCCTCTAATTCCTTATCACTTAAAGGGGAAAGGTTTTCCTCTTTAACCCTGCTGCAAGACCTCCTTTGTGTTCTGCAGCCATCAATATCTACTGCTTGAGTCAGCACTAGGTCCTTGGCTTCCACAGCTGTCAGGCAGCAGCCAGTGTTTGTTCTTCCCTTCTTCCCAAGAAATGACTCACAATGGTCAACATCCCACCTTTTTTTTTTTTTTTACATCAATTTCCAAATGCCCACAAAATAATAATATTTTACTTTTTTCCATATTCTTTACAAATAATGGAGAAGTGAGTCATATCCTTTGGAAAGATTATCCAAAAGGAGAACACATAGCAGAAGTAACTTCAGACCCTTTACTTGAAAACCAGAATAAAGAATAACTTGGAATCAGATTCTGGAAATTGAAGTGAAATTGTAATTTAGCTACTAATCATAACCTGTGTACACTGTTCTTTGGACAACCAAGATAATAGTAAGAGCAATATTTAAATTCAGTGTGCTTTCCCGTCATGCCAGCTTTGTATCTCTTGCTTTTTTTAATCATGTGATATGTGGTTCTTCAGTTTATTTTAAGGTCATAAGATCTTATTCTTGTCTGATTTATATAAACAGGTATAATAATGATTAATATGAGCAATTAAATTACATTAATTCAGGCCAAGTAAAAGGGGAACTTCAGTAGCTTTTAAAGAGTTAAATTAAAGAGTCAAAGCTGGCACCAAATACCCAGTGGATGTTTGTATGGAGTAAAATCCAAATCCAGATGAGCTATGGTTTGATTTTGAAAACCAAAATAAATTCTTTGTCCAGTATCTACAGTTGGACATTCCTGACTCTTATTCCAATGTCTGAAGATTAATTCAGTCCTTACAGTAAGGGTTTTGTGTTATACATTCTGTCATTTGAGGTACCTTTACTTCAGGAGATAATTTGACAGAGACTAATTTGGGATGTGCAAGGAATATAAGCTAAAATTTTCAGTCATTTCTGTATCATGAATGTCAGTTGTTATTTGTCCCATGTATTCAGGATTTTGGTGTTATGTTAAACTATAAACATGACTATTTTTTCCCCAACACTTCTACCATTTTACATGAAAATAATTGTGTAGAAGTTGTGGATTTGCAGCTGACAAGGACTGCCCAGTCATCTGCCCCAGTTGTGAATCCTAAAGGTCATTACAGAATAATTGTATCATCCTGTTGTGTTTGAAACTTGGCCTTTAATTTGGGGAAATTAACCTATTTATTTGAGCCAGGTTGGGTACATAAATGCCACTGCACACTGTAAAATATCACACGTCTCCAAGGTCAGGACAGTGTTAGTAAACTCTGCACACACTAGAAAATGCTTCAAAACAAAATTAAATCACTTCAAAAGCTTAACAAAAGTCTAAACAATTTTAATTCTGAATAAGAGTGTTAGACCTGTGTTTCTGTGCAAGTCAGAGCAGAACCAAAATATGAGAACAAGATGGAAGTGTATTCACATGTCTTTGATGCTCCAACCAAAATTTCATTTGGTCTTTTGTGAAGCTTCTGGTGAGCACAGGGAGCTCCAGAGCAACTCCTTGACAAAAATTTTTCAGAAAGCTGAAGTCATCTGGCCTTTATTGTTGTTTTCAGGTAAATTTGCTAACAGACTCATTTTACAGAAGAGCTGTGGATGGTGTTTCAGAACTGCACACACAGAAATGTTACCAGTCACCAGAGCCAGAGGTGGAAACAGGTCAGCCCCACATCTGCCACCAAGGATGTGTCTCTGCAGGTGCTCTTCTGGGTGTGTGATGAAATAACAGCAAAGGCTTAAATGGCAGCTGTATTTAAGCTGAAGAACAATGAAATCAAAATTATCTTTTTCACAAGCACTCACTTAACGAACAACAAAATTGGGGGACAAAAACCTGGTGTTTTGCTTCACAAGATGTTCTTTTCTGTGCTGTTAGAACTGGCACAGAACTGGCACTTGCTATTTATAATTTCATTAATGTAAGATACTTTACCAGGAGCTCAGAATCAAAAGATTGGTATTTATTTAAAATGCATTTTACAGAGAATAAAGGCTCCCCATTCACACACATAATTTCCTCCTTTAATGAAGGATTCTTTTTGGTTCCTTCCACACTGTACAAAGTGGCAAAGTGACAAACATTGATATAACAGGGTCACTGGCAACCAGACCAGAAACCTCTGCTCCCCTGTGAAGCCCAGCCCAGGCCCTCCTTGCTTTAGGTTCCTCAATGTGTTGTGTTTTTTTCCTCTTGAAGGCGTGCCCCTGTAGCAGGACAGATAAGGCCTGCTCACAGACTATTACCTTCTTCCTGACTCCTGTGGTTTTCACATCCCATCAAATTGTCATTTAGCTGAAAGCATGTCAGACCATTTCACAGGACCACACTGGAATAAATTGAACTATACTGAAAATTGATACTGTTGTGCTGTCAAAGTGATTGGGTTGGAAGTGAACAAAACATCGTTCCTTGCTCCTCAGTCATGCACAGAAAACACTAATGGTATTTCTTAATTCTAAAACATAAAAATTTTGTTAATCTCATGCATCCTGTTTTAGGTGAGCTACACTCTGCAGTTACATATGAGATCTGGCTGAAATTTGGAAGTGATGAGTCAATACAATGTGCTTTTATTAATGGAAATTACACTTTTATACCTTGTGGTCAGAGGTTGTGTGTGTGGCCCAAGTAACTCTGAATTTAGCCCCTTCCCCTCATATTTTCTCCCTCACTGCTTTATCTGCTTCACTAAAGAAGTGAAATAAACTAAAAAATCACTAAATATTGAAATAAACCTGCAGATTTCAAAGCACAAAACCAGATGCAACCATGAAGAAATAAACAAAACAAAGAATCTTCACTCCCCACCAGCACCACCCTTTCAGTTTGGTGGCTCCACTGACAGCAGCTTCCCTGGGTGCAAGATCAGACTTACAGGTACCAGACTGGGATTAAATGTGGACACAGCTCTTGTAAATCAAAGTTCTTAACAGTTCTAATAACAGTATCATTTACAGTTCCAATACAGGGCTGTAGAAGTGGCCATTTCTTTGCTTCCTTGATAAAGGGCTCTTTATTCAGTCCATTTTCCTGCCTGCTTTCCCAAATGATCACAAATGTGGAGAACAGCCCTGCACCCAACAAGCCGTGGCAGCCCTCTCCCCCCATCCCCTGCACGCACATTTCTGTCTCCGGCTTTCCCAGCGCTGCCTCCAGGCTGCCGAGTGACACCCGGCTAATCCGTGATGCTCCAGCCTGACCCGGACCTGACAATGCCTTCTCACTTCCCGCAGCCCCCCCTTCTCCTCCCGAAGTGAGAGACGGGCAATGCTTTTATTCCTCACCGGGGAGCAAGACGAGCCCAGCTCTGCTCGTGAATCTCCTCTGCTCGCTGACACGCGTCAGACACAACATTCTCATCCTTAAATGCTGGAGCAAAACAGAAACAAAGCAAGAGCCCAAAAAACCCCAGTGAGCTTCAGTCCCTGTCTGGAAAAAATAAAATAGCCATTATGCTCCTATCGCCAGAGCCCAGCGATGTCCTTTGTTTCAGTGAAAGCTGTGTGGTTTCTCTGCTCCCATCATGTGCATTACAGCTTCCATCTTGGCACTACACCGGTTAACGAGCAAACCCCACATATTTACAGTCTCTCAGGAAAAGCCGAGATCCAACTGACTGGCACGTCAGGAAACGTGGAGGGACAAGGTTTATGGGTTCACTTGGACACGGACATCATCTCCCCCACCTCATTTCCTCCATGGCTGTAGTCACAGGCAAAGTTGGTTCTCTGTGGCAACAAAACAGCCCTTGCTGCTTAAGCCCAAGGCTGAGAAGTCTGGCTGTGCTGCTTCTGCCCAGGACAGCAGGATGCAGGGGCAGTGGTGCTGCTGGGTCAGAGAATTCTGCTCCAGGAGATGGGCCCTAAATATTGAAAGTAGGAGATTTTAATTTAATTTTGGGAGTCTTGAGCCAGGTGTCAGGTAAAGGGAACACACTGCAGTGCAAACTGAACAATAACCTGGCTCCTAAAGAGCATTAATGATGTGTTTTTTCTCCCAGAAACTGTGTCCACAATGATTCCAGTTATTTATGCACAAATGAGAAAAGCTCTTGCCATAGATCTGACCAAACCAGGAGTTTTATTATGTTTGTTTGCCCTTCTGTTTGTTTAAAGTAAGAGTGCTGAGCAAATCAGTATTTTACTGGATAGCCAACAGCAATGGACAGCTTGAGCCTTACTCCTTCACCTTGGGCCAGAGCTGTTTAACTTGAGAGGGAACCACCTTCTTCATACTCAACAAATCGCAATTAAAATGTCCTGCATGCATGGATGCAAAATTCTACACATAAAGGACTCATGATGGAGAAAGAATTGCCTAAATTTTCTTTCCCTTTTCCTTTCATTTGCACTATTGGAGTCATTGCTAATCCATCCTTACCTGTCAGCAGTTACAGGCAGGACCCAGCTGGTTCTGTTGGGCAGCCAGACCCTGGTACTCCCAGTGCCCGCCTCAGCTCACCAGTCCTGCTGGGGTTAACCAGCTGTTGAGGGTTTCTGGAACACAGAAGACACCAAGTTACATAAATACTGCAATTATCTGGAATGTATTTTGCACTGATTTCATGTGTGTGTTTGGCAGTGTTGCTGGACTTGATTTGAAGCTGAATAAAGCACATGCAAGAGTGGTCATGGATGTGTAAAAGTATCCAAATAAGAGAATAACTCTTCAAACCTAGTAAGCCAAATCTGTCTCTTTTGAAGAGCTCTATAATGATGATTTGTATATTTTTAGTGTGGAAAAGTAGATAAACACACAGCATTGTCTTGTAAGCCTCCTGAACAGTCTCATAAGGGCAGATTGCAGAGTTTATCCCATACTTCAGGTTCCAAAGTGTTGGTTTATTCACCTGGTCTTGCCCAAACCCCCTGGGGTAATACCATGAAACATAAAAGTACAAAGTCTTGTAAGACTGCAGTCCCAACTCAGGTCTCTCACAACACTATCAAAACAAACAAGCTTACTTTCTCTCCTGATGACTACTGCCTTCCCTGAAAAATTACAGCTTTATTATGCATAATTCAATTTCACATCTACTTTTCTTTATTGTCCCTTCTAATTATGTACACATATACCTGTTATTTACCGCAATACATAACTTATGCCCCAAGCATAGCACAGAAATACACACACACTTCTTATGTAGAAAAAATAGAAAAATCAGACAGGCTAATCAGGAATTTAGTTACTTCCCTATCCCATTCTGAATTTGTAGGTGTTTGTACAGATTCAGAAACCACATCTGAATTCTGTCTGAATTCTCTCTTTGGTCATTGCAAGGGCATTAATTACCTGCATTCCATAATGTATCACACCAACTTTAAATGCTTTTTATTTCTGAGAAACAAGGCCAGATGCACAGAAGTTCTTATGCTTCTGACAGCCTAATGATGACAACGCAGTAACTCAATTTGTTGCCTGATTTTGGCTGAGAGAGGCTTGGGTCAGCAGTGTTTGATGTGCCACATGCATCACTTTTAAGCTCTGGTCATAATTCAGGACTGCAGTCCAAATTCAGACTTTAAATGATACACCACAGCATCCTTGTTCTCCACAAAGCTACAGAGGGAGCTTGGGCAATGAGATCTTATCTTTAGACTTCAAAGGTACTGTCTGAAATGAGTCCCTGTGGATAAACCCCTCCAGGGCAGGATGCTACGGCCTTACAGGAAGGCAGCACCTGGGACTTGTTCCTCCTGAGCCCACTTTGTGCTGCCCACTCACCCTTCCCTGCAAGAACATCTGCATACAACAAAACTAAGCCAAAAATGACAGTTTTTTCCCAGCACATACTGAATCACCTATGGAATATAATTAATCTCAAGTGTGCATTCCCTCTGCAAGGTGTCAGGATATCACAGAGCCCAGAGGCATTTGTGTCCAGTGAAGAATGTAATGCCTGCAGGTCTCCCTTCTCCCCCAGAGGAGACAGATTTCAGAGGCCCCTGTAATGGATGTTTATTTGTCTGCGGTATGGATTTATTAATTTGTTGCACACTAATCATTAATCAGCATCTGGTGCTCAGACAGTACAAGAGGCCACACAATCAGCCATGCAGCTTCACCCAGTGCCCTGCCAGGTCTCTCCAGAACCCATAGATGCTAAAACACCGGACATGCAGCAGAAGGACTTTAATTTCATAAAGTAAATGCCAACACTGCTTTGCAGTCCTTGGATGAGCCCAGCCATGGAAGCTCTCCTAACCAGACCAGAGTGCACTCCCCTCATGTCCCTGAGGTCACAATTTGGCTAAACATATGCAGAACATGCTTGGCTCATTACACATGTGCATATCAAATCCACATTCAGCAGCAAGGGAACAGAAGACAATATATGGTAAAATACTGGAACTGCACTTCAAAGATCAGGATGCAATTCCATGGACTCCCAGGGTGACTTTGGCCACAACAGTCACCTCCCCTGCTTCAGCTCCCATCTGTAAAAAGCAAAATAACCATCCCTCATTTTTACTTCATCCATCTTTGCAATTTAAACTCTGAGTTCTTTGTAGTGGTGTCTCTCAAAATACATCCAGCTCCCAGTACACAATGTCCTCCTCAGAACAGCCTTATGGAAATGCATCCAAAAAATAAAATAAAAAGAACCATATAAAACATGCACTGATGAGATAAGACCACCAGCACAACAATGCAGTGAACAGCTGTAATCTGTGGGAGGATTGCTTCTCTTCGCCATAAATGCCATCTATTTTTCATGACAAGCTTTTCCCTTTCATAGAACAGGGAACTCAGTATTTGCAGACAACTTCCCTTCCCACCAGTATGGTTTTTAAAGGCTCGCAGTAGTTTATGACATTAATTAGAAGATGTCACATTTTAATGACAAATATTAGTACTAGTCTGCTTGATTAACGTAATTTATTTCTTCATTGGACATTTTATTCCAGATGAGCTGCTTTTCATCCATCCATATTTGCTGGGGGAAAAAATGCATCCTGACATGCAATGTTAATGTGCCCTCTATTCTGACCTCTTATCTCTTAACTTTTCATTCTCACCCCCCTGTTCTCTGCAGTGCCTGAAATGAGCTTTAGCAGCAGCTCTTGGTCAAGGCTTTCATACACTGTACCCTCGCCAAGGCTTTTGGGGTGTTTAGTACTGACTAAAGGTCTATTCCTATGACACACACATTTAAATTTAGCACTAAACTGGTGGGGAAAAAAAAGAGAAAAATATGTAAAATGCCACTTTCTGACAACCAGAAAATTAGAATTCATTCCCCTGAGAATTAAATGGACTTTTCTGCTTCCAGTCACTAACTATGACAAGGTTAACATTTTTCAGACTAATGACTAAGGACATTAAGTGTGTATGTGAATAAGAAATAAAATTACTGGAGGGTATTAGCAAAGTGTGTGACAACAGCCCAAGCTGACAACAGAACTCCGAGGCTGCAGATTGTGGCCAACACTGATCCTTTGCCGTGGAGAACCAATGGATACCAGAACATGGAGGGCATCCTTCTGTCCTTATTACTGTAACAACATCAAAATCACAGCAAGACCCACATCTGGGTGGGGGGAGAGCTCACCTCAGAGGGCATCCAGCACATTCCCAGTATCCCAGGCAGGGACACTATGTCAATCAGAGGCCACAAACCCCTGAAGATACTCCAAAAAGAAAAAAACCCAAGTGAATCTCTTACTTCCCCAAGGATTTTTTCACCACTCCTGATTTAATTCTAATATGACATGAGGATTAGTGTAGGAGATTACGTTATTATTTGTGACTTGCCTTAGCTTCTGTCCTTCCCAGTTCAGTTTTCCCTGTAGCTCCTCACTGTCTTAGCTGTAGCAAACTGAAGTTGTGTCTTCCAGACGACAAAGGATTTCATGGGATGCAGCACAGAGAGCTCAAAGGAAAAGAGAAGTGTTATTGATATGTTCTTAATGATAGGCATTAAGATACTGGAAATTATTAACTATTGGGAATCTTTCAGTATATATGTAAAACTGGGGCACTAAAAGGTAAGACAGGAAAATTATATTTCCAAATATCTAATTTCTTCAGTGAAAAATCAGGGTAAAAATGACATTTAGAGATATAGGTCAAGTTAGAGAAAGCCCCTTTAAACAGGGACAATTAATATGGATTCTATCAGAACAACAAAAGCTACGAGGACATCAACAAAATTCAACACAGAGATCTTCTTTTATTGTTTCTGCCTCTGATTTGGTTTCAAAAGCTGCTTGACCACAACTGAGAAAAATCTAAAGCTTACAATTTAGGGATAAATGAAACATTTAAAAAAATTAAAATAGACATTAGGACTAAAAAGAAAGAAAGAAAACCAGAAGAAAACAAGTATTTTCAAAACCACAGAATCTACCTCTAGATTAGCCAACTGGAAAGATTCACCCATTTCTCTTTGCTTTCCTGTGGCTGTCAGGGTGCTCATCAGTCCAAAACAATGCATTTTTTAATTTTTCTAGTCAGAGCTCAGTGTGATGAACTATTAGGCAGCTCAGTAACAGATTGTGTTTGCTGTAATATCAAAAGCTGGATTCTCCTCTCTTCATGTACAAACCACCAGGCACATCTCTGTCTCTGAAAGGTTTGTGCTTTGCCAAAGCAGCGTGAGAGGATTCCTGCATGTTTGACACCAATGACAAGTGCTGCACCTGCCCTCCCACAAGCTCTGATCCACATTCCACACCACTCTCACTCCGACTACACTCTGATTACTTTTGGTCCCTGGCCTCATTACCTCACACTTCCCTACAATAAACTGCATAAGCCACTTACCTGCCTGTAATCCTGATAAATCCAAATAATTTTCAATGAGTTTGTTTTGTTCCTCTGCCCCTCCAACTTCCTCAGCCTTATTTTATGTCATCAGCATATTTCAGGCACTTTTGAAATTACATTCTGCTCGAGGTCACTGCACTCATTTTAATTCCAACCCTCCAGCACATCAGTGCTTTAACTCCCTTCTGATTTATTTATACTGTTTATTTATTATCAGAGCCCAATTCAATCAATAAAAGCTGGAATTCAAACACATGCACACGTTTGAATTATGCATACAAACACTCATCAGGGGACAGAAGACAACTGCTATGGTCTAGATCATTCCTCTAACATATGGCAGCTCATAGGTAAGGGGACTCATAGCCATGAATTTTTATACCTTGACTTCTGCTTGACCCCAGTGGTTCTTTGGCTCCTGGAAACCAAAAGAATTGAAATAGCATCAGAAATTCCATGGAAGAGGCTTGGCTAAGGGATCTCTGCATTTCTTACCCCAAGCCACTAGACCATATTTATGGGCTTTTCTGAGCTGACAGTTCCTTTATTAGCTCCTGTACACACCAGGAATTCCAGAAAAACACCAGCAACCCACACCAGACAGTCATGTCAAGCAAATGCTGCAAACAGAACAGTGTACAGGGAACTGGAACTTAAAGGGAAACCAAAGCACAAACCTCAATTGCAGCCCAGCTTAGGCATCAAACCAACCTAAACAGGCTGCTGGAAGCAGAGTAGGAAATTAATAACTTTTGGCTCCCCTCTGCAAACCACCACCCTCCCTAAACCTTACTGGTCAGCAGATCCTCAGGCACAGCTCACTGCTGGCTTCTGCTTGCCTTTGAACACAGTTGGTGGTTACAACCCAACAACACTGCAGATTCAGAAAATGGAGGCAGAGAAAGTGTGTGGATGTAGGTTCTGCTACAGTTGTGCTACAGACAGACTACTTCTGGAATTGTGTGCCCCAGCTCATCTGCAGTTCTCTGTCCTTTTATCACCTTTGCACTGCTCTTCCTGCTCCATCCTCTCCCTACCATGGATCCTTAGCAGCCACCCCTCACCAGCAATCACCCTTCCCTGCTAAGCACTCTTCTGAAAAAGCTGTTTCTATTTTTCCTTACTACTGCAAGCTCTTGTGTCACAGCAGAGCTGCGCTGGTTTGCAGCACCTGGAGGCATGGCCTGAGTGCTGGGGGCTAAATCACAGCCCATTCTGCTCCCCCATCGTGAATTTGACAAGAACAAAATTCCCTCCTGAATCTTCTCTGGCCTAGAGTTATGTGAATTCCAGGAGTCTCTTTGAAATCCTGTTTTAATATTTCACAATTTATGCACAGAGTATTTTGGCTTTTCTATCAATACACTTCTGCTTGGTAACTCCCAGTTTGAATGCTGATTGTGTTTTGCATAAATTAACTAAATTGCAGCCCTTCTGTTTCATTGGTACTTTTTGTCTGCTTCCATCAGGAACAATGTCAGGGAGATTGCAAGCTGACTACAATTCTCTTTCCTAAGCAAGAGGAAAACATTTAAGAGCCCAATCAGCACCAGTTTCCTGAAGTCTGTTGGGCTTTATAAGCTGTATTGTACTCTGGCATTTAACAATTTCTGTTCATTTGGTTCACTTTAAGAAGGGAATGTAACAATTGCCACAGTGTTCTGAGCCTCTGGTGCCTATTGATAAAAGCTGTTGTTACACCTGTTCCATATTTCTTTCTTTCTCCTTAAAAATTCCCTGAGCTAAAAAAGTTGTTTGTGCAATGCCAAAGCAAGGACAGGTCTCTGTTCCCACGTTCCAACACTCAGCTTCCACAGGGAGATGTGCAGCAGACTGGATTTCACAGCTAAGACAAGACCAACCATGGTGTGAAGCTGCCAAGAGCACAAAACAAAACTCAGGTGCTGCCTGAGCCTGGAAGGAGGCTTCCCTTTAAGTTCCATATCCCCACAGGTAGGGGAAGGTCCAGCAATTGATGGCACATTTTAAAGATTCTTTTACTACACAGCATGAAGAATTCCACATTCAGCTCTGGTCTGACAGCCAACAGTGTTTACAACCGAGACAGGTTTCATTAACCAAGAAATGCAATCACATCTCACCCATGACAAAAATCAGTTACCACAAGTTGGTTTATAAAACAGTCACAGGATTTATTGAGATAAATACAAATAGAAAGTTACATAGATTCTTTATTCTGACAAATGAATGACACTTCCAGAGTGTCCCCACTTAACTGGGCTCTAAACACCACCGTGTACTGACACAGCTGCCACGTGCTCATCCCACCAAGGCCACCAGTGAGGCTCAGACCTAAGCAACATGACCAACATGCTTTGGATTACAGGTGCTGGATCATTCCCTACAGCATCCCAGCAATATTGCACCAACTACTGTTACTGTCATGTTCCTTAACTAGACATGCTGAAAAGTGATATTCTTTCTGCTGCTGTGAAAGTGGATGGACTACTTAACTTTGCTCCACCTGGCTTTTTAAATACATATTTTTGCATAATTTAAACAACCCAGAGAACTGCACGTGAACACACTCATTGCATACATTTGTCTAGGACAAGACGTAAAGTGCGGCCTTTAGTCATGCTGAAACAATTTCTAGTTTAAAACTAAACCAAAAAGACAAACTTGCAGAGGGTAAATCTGGGTAACAGACCTGCACATTGTCTACAAAAATCCCACCCCAGAACTACGCTGGCCCCCATTAGGACATGCAACTGTGGAGTTGTAACAGGAGGTTTTAAACACTTGACTGAAATCGCCTCATTCAAAATCCACCTGAATCTGGGAGCCAGAGAGGTACCAAAATATTGTTAAAAAACAAAGAACTTTGTTCAGCCTTTTAGTGAACTTTTATAGCTGGTGGCTTACCCTTTACACACATCCTAGTTAAAAACTCCTACTGAACATGAACCAAACATGCTAAAGCCTATGGAAGCTTGTGTTTTCCAGTGGATTATTGCAAGTCAAGGTAACTACTAAAGGTGATCTGACAAACAGCAACCTGGGTTGGGTTAATGTTCAAGGTATTTAATTTATATACAGTATATTTCAGACATACTTACATATACACACACTTAAAAAAATCTGTTCAGTGCAGAGAAATTTAATGAACTGATAATAAAAAACAGAAGTGAAACCTTGTCAGAAAGGTCTTAGAAAATCTGAACTGTTAGAAAATATCAGTATAATGCCAGCATTAGAAAAAGATATTAGAACTAGAAAAAATTAACTTGAGGTGTCTTTTCTTTAAGAAATTGCAATCATAAAAAATCTGTACTGAAGAAGCATTTGTTTTAAATTATAAAAAAAACTGTAAAAAATTAAATGTAGAATGCTGCAGAGTTTACACTGTTCGCTGCAGTAGCACTGGTATATTTCTGCCTGCAACGTCCAAAGAGCATTTTGTGATCTTACAAGAAAACAATTTGTTACAAATACTGTACATATTATAATACATGACTGCTTAACTCATACAAAAGTGAGCCCTCCCAAAATACAGAACCCAGCTGAGGAACCTACTCACTGTCTTGCAGACAAGCCACATTCAAACAAAACCAAAACAGGTATTTCTGTAAAAACCTTCCCCCATGTGAACTACTTACTATGGAACATGAAATAAGGACAAGTATTTACACAGGTCTGCTGAGGAGAAAGGACTCTGCCCTCAGAAAGAAAGTAACTGTTATCACATGAAACCATTTCTTTAGTATTTAAACATTAGTTTTTGAGCAGAACAAAGTTTCAATCCACAATAAAAAAAAAAAAATTTTCTTTTTTCCAGGACCCACATTATTGCAGATTTGGGATCCAACGGAAGACAGAGTTCATAAGAAGTATAAGCTTTACAATTTTTCTGAGGTTACTCAATCTGACTAACAATTCTGCTCTTTCTTCCAAGCCCCTGTTGTAACAGACTGGAGACATCCCATTTCACCTTACATGTCTCACTTGGGATTTGCCCCAAACCTTGCACTACAACCCACAGAGGCTGCAGAGCAAACTGTGGCACCACCTTTCCCTGGAACATTTCTGCACTGAAGGTTTTGCAGAATTTAGAGCTCCTTTGTTTCTTAGGAAAAGCTGTTTGGGGTTTAACCACTGGGCAGGTTACAAGGTGTTGGTTAAATGAGGTGTGCATGTAAAACAAACAAAGGCTCAAGCCTGTAACTCTCTGTAATACCCTTGAACAGCTCCAGCTCCTGTCGCAGAATTGAACCTCTCAACTCAAGTGACCTTTGCTGGGGCAGAACAAGGAATTTTTCGCTTAGGAAATCTCCACTCTACCTGCTCCAGGGCGAGGCAGCAGCAACAAAAACTGACCTGTGAACACCTGTAAGGGCAGTCAGAAATGTTGCTATTATGACCTGTTAACACTGTAAGGGCATAGTTCAGAAGGAACAAATTAATAGAAACCTCACAATATACAAAGAACCTTGAGCTCTCTGTGCTTTGAAAAATATTACACACAAAAATGATCCATGCTTAATTCTAGCAGTGTAACTACTTTCAAAAATGAAATAATTTTTGAGCTTTTCCCACTGATACAGAATTAAGTTCTTCATAATTTTTTGTTACAATTCAAGACTATTCACATATATACACTTTTTTTCAAATAAATGCAATAAGTGGTACAGTACAAAGATCATAATAAAAGTGAGGAAAGAACAGCTTCAGGAAAGTTTGCTATAATTATGTTTTAAGATTTAGCAACTGTTTTAAGCTTATAGCAAACTTGTACTAACGGAAATATTTTGTTTAAAAAATGAAATGTAAATTCCAATTATGCTGAAACACTGAGTGTGGTGTAAGACTTCACAGACAATACTAAATGTGCAGGTGAGGTCAGAGTTATCGTCTCCATTTACAAAGGGAAAACCAAAAGGAAGGAATTATTCACAGGAATCAAATACACCGCTGTAGATGAAACAAGGTCATGAAATGAAGACTAACATTTCTCAACACCCCCTTTTCTGCTCAAATAGGTAACAAAACCCACCTTATCTGTCCTCATTACTCACACTAACAGAAACAAGGTGAAAAACTGTCCTGCTGTTCAGCCTTCACTACAGAAAAACCCCTTAGTTTTGTTTTTCAATGGTGATACTGTCCATGTTATTCTGTTTCAGTTTTATGGTGGCAAAGAACGACACATCTTGATCTCTATCAGATTGCAGGGCTAGAATGGTTTCTTCTGCAGCTTCTAGATGAGGATTGCCAACACTTTTAAAATAAGCTGGAATAAGGGAAGAAAAAAGACAATTTTAATAAAATCCAAAGGAATAAACCCTAGAGCATAAGCAGTGCAGAAATACAGAGAATGCCAAAACCATCTGGGGCAGCTTATCCAGTTTATAGTCTCCTTACAGAAGGAGACTATAAACTTCCCTACTAAGGAAGCTGACAGAGAAAGAGAAATATACTGCTTCATCTTATTAGATACTTATATACTTCTAAGATAAACCCTTTTTGCTGAGTCCTAAATAGCAATGTATCAATGAGCAACAGGAAGCTCAGGAAGCTGCTACCGTTCAATGCATTCCAAAACTTTCTCTATACTTTATTCTGAAAAGAAGGTAGGAGATTTCTGTGCTTCTTTCTCTGAACAATCAGAGGGCAGCACACAAATTACATTGGCGACACAGCAGAATAACCTAGCTGGGTGTTTAAGAGGAACGCTGGATTCCAAAGGCGGTTCGCGGGGCCGCACTGCCCCCGTGTGGGGCCGCTCGGCACCTGCAGCACCGGCCGAGGCAGCTCCAGCCCTTCCGGGATGAACATCCCGCGTTCCAAGGCTGCAAAGACACTCGAGTACTCTCAAATCTGAATTTAAATCCTAGCGAGAGATTCTGTTTCACAGCCTTGCACCGACTGAACTACAAGAGCTGTGCTGGCAGAGGAGAGCCAGCATTCCCGAGGTGTTGGGTCTTCCCAAGGAAATGAAGGACCACACCTTTCTCCAGCAAGGTCTGCCTGAGAGCCTTGGCCAGCAGGACCCTGACGTTTGGCACAGGATCTGATGCAAGACTTAGAAGGCTGGGGAGTAAGTGTTCAACAAACTGGTCCACAGGCATGCACTCCTCTTCTACTACAGCCTACGAGACAAACACACAACAGAAAAAAGCAAAATTTATGTTAAAAATACACTACTTGCCATTCCTTTTACTGCTTTCCACTTTGTCCTTAATTTGGCCTGTTAAAAAAGCCCTGGAGGAGAACACCCCACCCTGTGTCTCACCATTTTGAATTTCAGCCAAAGATGGGCCAGGAAGAGCAGATGAATTTCTTTCAAGAATGTTTTAGGAAATATTGCCTCTCTTGCTTGTTATCACCCTTTTCCCTTTTAACATTCAGCCCTTGCTCCTCACTGCTACCCAAGTAAGCAGTTTTGGTTTGGAGGGGGTGAGTGGTGGCAATAAAAAGGGAAATAGTTCCTGGCATCCAGCACCCACTAGTGGTGTGAAGAGCTCTTGTGATCCTTTAGCCTAGCATGGCCAAGGATTAAACAAATATATCTCTATTTGGGACCTAAGTCTTGGCTTTGCCACTGGGATACCAGATAGTGCAAGGATCAGCTGTGGCAGCTGGAAGCACAGACCCAGACAGGGATGCGGAAAAGCCAGATGCCAGCACTGAGACCACACTGACTCTGAGCAAATCAAAAGTGTCCCAAAAAATTCTGAGTCCAGATTTTAATTTTGCCCACATTGCTGCAAAACCCCAGATTTAATGTACACATAGAAACAGAGAGAACATTCCAACCTGACAAATGAAGGCAAAGGCTTGTCTCCCGACCCACTTGGAGCAGTGGCGAAACCGCACTACGAGCTCATTGATGAAATTTAATCCCAGGGCACTGGCACTGTTTGCATAGAACTTCTGTAGTATTGCTACAACCTGTGAGCCAAAGGAATGGGAAAAGGAGGGGAACAAAAAGAAAAAATAAAACTTCATCCAGCCCTTAGACTTAAAAATATATCATTTCATTTGATTTCTACAAGGGACACTGTATTCAATGTAGCCAGCTGTGCTTGTAGGCTTCCTAAGAAATTAAACCAACTTTGAGGAAAGATCAGTAGTTGCTTGTTCTGTGTTTTGTTGTGTTTTTTTTCCCCCAGAACTGGGGGAAGGCTTTCCAAATCACATATACTGTCTTTCATTCACTTCAAAGGATTTCTCATTCACATACAACCACAGAGAAAAATTTCAGCATCTGTGGCAGTCTGACAACTCAAAATATTTTATCAACTTTCCATTTCACTTTTTTTCCATATTGAGTCCTGTGTTTATCAAAGCATTCCTATTCACCCTACTTGTCTGAAAACACAGTGATTTCAGGTACCCTCTCCAGAACCATTTTCCTGCTCTTCTGCCAGGAAGTGAACTAAATCCCCTACCAGTTTGAAGGAGATCCACCGAACTTCAGAAACTTTATCGGAGCACAGAGTTAGTGCAATGTGCCTTAAGTAGTCATAGACATCATTGGGATTGTAGAGCTCCAGGATCAGGATCAGCTGCCTGGAACACAAAGGAAATCATTAACTGTACCAAGTGCAGCACCAGCCTACTGCCTTCACTGGCTATTACAGGTGGGGAAGGAGCACCAGGGTTACTACAGAGCCCTTAAGCAGTTTGTTCTTCACTTGTTAGAGGCTTTAATCCATCAGGGAGGCCAAGAGAAACTGATTCAAGCTACATGTACCAGTGTATCAACATTATCCAAAAGAATAACCAAAAGCTACAAACAGAAGCGTGATAAGACTTTTTTCAGCTTCTAACCAATACTCTGTACATTCTTACAAAGCAAAAACTGAATATTTACCTCAGTAAATAGAAATCTACATTTCAGAAAATAATTCCTATGTCAGAACCACACAGAACAGACTCCAGACACAGAACCAGCAGCCACACAGAGCCCAGGCAGTGGCAGCTCCCCACCAGGGCTCAGGGAGCTGCTATGTAACGTCTGTACTTGTGAGTTTGTTGTGCCAAACTACAAAGGGAGAACGAAGCCTCAACAGCCCAAACATAGCAACACGATGAACACAAAGGTCAGACTTTATCTGCTAACTGTGACTATAATGGTGCTTCAGATATCAACAAGGCTTATAGAAAAAGAACTGTGGGATGTTAATCTACCTTTTTTATATACCCAGTCTTATAGAAGTATCAAAAGAATGAACTTTTTAAAAAAACTGTTTTTTCTTTCCTACACATTAAAAAAATCAGTTTTTACATGTTTCATTAATATTTGCAAGGGAGCCTTGAACTAATAAATTCTCACTGAATAGTATCTATCAGACTGTCATGTTTCATCAGCTGCAAGTGAACCAGATCTCCATTTCAGAAAAATCACAGACATTTCCAGTCACACATTACAACACAACTTGTGAAAAATAAAAAACCCAAAAACCCCAAATGCCCTTGACTCCCCCCAAACAACCCTAACAGACAGTGGCTTTTTCCTTCCTAAAGAAGGATTGTAGCTCCTAATTGATATGTGCTAACTTCTGAATGTAATTACTTATTTCCAAGTTAGCAATACAGGTTAAAAATCAGAAGTTAACAAAATTACATACTCTGCCAGCTCGTAACGAAACCTCCAGTTCCTGCTGTTATCAGTCACCACAAATTCTTGCAGCTGGTAAAGATACTCTCGCCTTTTGTCTGCATGAAGTAGCTAAAGGAAAAACATTACTGGTATAAACCTGATAAAACTTTAAATTTGCAGTACTCTGGTGTGTCACTATTCACACCTATGTGCCTTTTCCTACTTGAAAGCAAGTGACCAATGATAAGGTGCTTCCTAAAAACTGTGCACAATCAGCTGAGTGCCTGGACACACAGAAGAGACATCCAAAGTACAAAAAGTCATCCCTTTAGCAACACCCAAAGCACCATCTGTGGTCATGAGAGTGAGTAACCAAAAGCTGAGGATCTGTGTGTATTCCACAGCAACCCACCAGGATCTGCTCTCTTCTCTCCCAGCCCCAAACACAAATTGCTACTGGGTTAACTTTCCCAGTTTACAACAGGCAGCAGCATTTACAACCACATTTACGAAGGGTTTTCAGCTTGGTATTTTGTTGGGATATGAGAGAAAAGAGCAGCGAGGCACATTAAAAGAAGGAATAGAGGCACACACACAAAATGGAAGCATTGCAAAAAACTAAACATTCATTAGATAGACATGCACAGCTCATTCAAAAACTGTTTATATAATGGAGTCAGAAAAAATGTTACATTGAGAAATTTATTACGTTTTCCTACCTTTAGAAAGTCATACAGATGTTTGAGGACACCAATACGCACTTCATCCAGGTCTTTCAAGAACCCATTGAAAATTGGCACCAGATCAGCAGCTGTTAACTGATCCCCCAGGATCACAGCCAGCTCGTGGATGGAGAAAGCCAGAGTGCGCCGCACCTTCCACTGCAAACAGGCCAGCAAGGGAACTACATGAGGCACCATGACTAAAATAAATAAGCTGTTGAACTACCCCATGAGGTATTGAGACAGCAGGACAAACAGGGCTAGCAGAAAGTGTTAATCGTATCTGATTTAAACCTGGAATTTTATATTTTTAGTGCACATTTATTCCTCTGTATGAAATTATGTGATCTTATAACTACAGTACAAACTGAAGAAAAAAATCTCCTCCTGAAAATTCTGGTTTTTTGTAACAAAACTTTCTTTTCTTACCTGTACATCTGAAGCCAGTGTCTCATAGGTGTCCTTGAGGCAGTGCCAGTTCTGCCTGCCCAGAGTCAGGGCCACCCCGGGCAGGCTGTAGGCACAGTGCTTGGCAATCTCAGTGTCAACAGTCTGGGCCCGAGCAGGGTCAGTCATGGACAGGTACTGGTCCAGTAAAGGCTGAGGGATGATGTCCTACAGACAAACTTCAATTTAAGAGCAGAAAGAAAATCCAGCTGCTCTGCTACAGTTCTACCAACCAGTCAGCACCAAAACACAAGAGACAAGACACCCCTTGTGTGTGTTAACCTCACCAAGGGTCAATGACTCCAATGGTTATTTGTCCTCTCATTAGGATATAACAGTCAGCAATGAACACTCATTATGGCTTTATCAACACCTTGCATCTACCTGAAAATCAAGCTGAAAATTCCTTCTCTGCTGATGCCAAAGAGTAAATCAGTGACAGAACATGGCAGTCAGTGCCTACCTTAGTTGCACAGGTCACCTATAGGGCACCAAAAAGGCAACAATGTTCCTAATTTTCTCATTTAAAACAGGGTTCTCCTTGAATTCTGGAGCATTCCCTCACATTCCCGCAATTGATCCATTACAGAAGGTATCACCTCAAAAATACACTGGTTCCTCTGTGTTGCTCCTCCGAGTCCTGTAAAATGAGGTACCAGGTAGTGAAATGAAGGATACTTGGTGCTGTTTGGGCTATTTCAAAGCATCACAGTGCAGAACAATGAAGCTCAGATTCAGAACAGCCCTGCACAGGCAAAGCCTTGCACAGGCAGAGCCTTGTTCAATGTGTTTATGCAAGTACAAAAAGACAACAGTTGCACACTGAGGCAAACAGAGACTGTAGCAGCAACAAGAGCAGCAGTAGTTAACATTTACTGCTAAAGAAAGCAATCTAACATCACAAACCCAACATTCATACACATTTTGGATGGTTACTTTTAAATAGTGTTTATTCTTGAAATTAACTTATATTCAACAGAATTTAGTCAGAAAAAAAACCGTACAAGACTACTGCAAAACTAAGTCCTGGGTCATTTGGGTGCAAACAGAAATGATAACCCTTACTGGCTTTTCTTTTTTTGATTAGAGTAAGCAGAACATGATCGCTGTGGTCTGGTAATGTTCAAAGGCTTTGGATGAAAAGTAGGTCAGTTGTGCCAGGGACTACACAACCCCACACAGCTCAAACATGGAGCACAATGTGTACTTACCATACTTTTCAGCACGCTGGTACTTGACTGGTCACTGATGTCATCCTGGGAGGCAGGGGATGAAAGAGTGTCCCCCTGCACCTGGTTGCAGGCAGCATCCGAAATAGCTGTTTCATCCAAAATCATTTTGTTCTGAAGATTGTCACTACTTTCTTCCATTTTTTTGGTCTCACAGTCACCAACAGAATCAAACTGAGCAGCTCTGAGAGCAGCAGACAACACTTGGACCTGAGCTGTAAAGCAAAAGATGGTTATTTAGTTTCCTTTCTGCATTTAAAGGCATTAAACTTGTAATTAACTCATCTGAAAAGATAAAAGATAGCCCAGTATGAGCCACACAGATAATGCTGTATTAGCAAACATTCACTCTTGGAAAGAAAAGGCCTTTTACTACAGGGCACTCAAGAGACTTGGTGACAAGAAACTGAGCTGACTATAGATGACAAGACTGATCTGGTCCATGAAACAGATCCCACTGTCAGGCCAATATCCTTCCAGTGCTTTCAACAAAAGCCTGTTTCAGGTGGTTAAGGAGAGAGAACTTGAAATTAGGGCCATTCTCAGTCAGTCCCTATTAGATTAATTCAGCTTGTAACAGGTAGCACTGTCACTAAACCCACAGCTGCTTTCCCTTTTGTAGTTGGATCAATTTGTTTTTCATGCAAACAGAAGCCAGGAACATTTTCCCAGCTGCTCTAGAAATAACTCAGGTCTTATGAAAAAAGCTGCTGCATAACTTTCTACTACAATTCACTACTCAAGGTAGGTTCATCACCCTATGAATACCAAGCCAATTAAAATGCAGGCAAATGTTTTGTAAGGGCCAGAAAACCTGCTCAGAGGAAACACAATTTTACTGTCACAAAGCCTCACCTTGAACATCTGGATCATCTATGTGCTCCTGTAAGCTTTCTAGAACCTTTTTTATTTCACTGCTAGCAACACAGTTACTACATGGCACAGAGCAGGCGTCGTTGTGCTTCTCAGCCTTGAACTGCAGCAGCTCCAGGTCTTGACTTATGTCGGGCAGAGGAGGGCGCCAGTACAGGAACGTGTTAAACACGTCCTCGGCAGACGGCAGCCTTGAGCTCAGCTCTGGAAAACTGCTCTCCTTCGTGGCTTCAGTGACACCAGCAGCAGCTTTGTCACCCTGACACACGCGAGAGGATTCTTCTCCAGGGCTGGCACAACAATCTGAACTTTCTTCCCGTGGATCTTTATTTAGGTCCTCAGAGAGCTTTGTATGAACTTCTGCTGAGGTCTCCTCAGTTGATGATTCCGGTTTAATTTCCATTGGTTGTTCTGAGCTGGAAACAAAGTTATTGAATGTAAACTTTAAGTACTCTTTAACAAGAGCTTTCAGTGAAATGCTTCATAAAAGACAGCAACAACAACAGAAACTTCTCTCTAAAGAAAGAATTTGTGTTACCACTATGCTTTATTTCACCAGTTTTCCCTTTGCCCTCCTGTGAAGCCAAAGTAAATTTTTCAATAATGTGGTTACACTGAACTGTGTGACCTCACTCTTCAGACCTTTTCTGGAACTCAAATATTCTCAAATGAACAGTTTTAGCCTCAACAAGCAACAAAAACAATTACCTTCCTTTTAACCCCTTCCACTACCACACACCTTTCCCAGGATTTACCTGGACAATGCAGCATTTGCACTGGAAGACATCACAGTGATATTGTCACTTGGCTGACAGGAGTTTGAATTCACATCTTGTGCTGATGGTCGGATACTCAGTGTCCCATCTTCTCGAATGTAAAGACCAGCACTTGAAGGGTTTGCAAAGGTAGAAATGAATGGGCCAAGAGATTGAAAAGCAGCCTGACGAACCTGTGATGGTGTAAAGAGCAACAGTCAGGCTTCATGCAACTCCCACAGAGTTGAAAAATCTAAATGTGGTACAATTTTCAGTAAGAACCAATTGGTTCTTAACACTTCATTTGATATCAAATGTAACCAATTACCAAATAAGTGACACTTAAGCAAAGGGTCATACACCTAAGCCTGTATCTACAATCATTGTACAGAAATCTTTTGGAAGTTATAAATTTGAAGGACATCTGTACCTCAACTCATCTACTTAACACAAGCAACCTTTTCTCAGAAGAGTATTTACACTTCTAAACTGTTGAGAGAGAGGAAAAAGATAAGGAAGAGAGGAATAAGACTATCTCATTAGAGGAGATTAGTTTTTAGCACATTAAGCTCTGATCTCAGCAAATGCACTTCAGAGCTCTACTGAACTTGCCCATTATTTGTTTAGGATCTGCCTGGGAGAACGCATCAATTCCAGAGGGAGTTACTCACCCATCTGCAGGTGTCACTGATCAGGCTGATGAAAAGTGGGGACAGTTTGCTCCTGCGAACTTCTGGGGACGTGGTGTAAGACACTGCCATAAAGCACTCAGCACAGGCCTTCCTCATTCCCCACACACTATCAGAACACAGCTCAAAGAACTTGGGAATCTGCCAAAAATAAGCCAATTCAAAACTTATTAAAGACTGAACAAAGCAATATCAAAGTAATTGTTTGAAAACTAGAGACAATGAAAACTCAAGAGAGAATAAAATAAGTAAAGAACAGAACAGGGACAGGTTAAATGCATACACTAGTTATATTAATTAGAAAAAACAATCTGTTTCTCACTCCATTAAGAATGTGTGTATAACTATTTGCAATGAGAAATAATAGAAAGAACTATTAATGGCCTACAAAATTATAATTGAATTGATGATCACTGAATGATCATCTAGTTCAGGGAAAAATAAAAGTGGTAACTCTACAGTGTGTGTAGATATGTAAAAATATAACTGTGTATATATATATCTGCTGTCAATTACATTTTAAAACATGTTTTGCAAAACAAGAACTTTGCATTTCTCTTAATTGCCAGTTTTGCTGTGTAATTGTAATCAAGGCCTTAGCCAAGTCAATTAGAAAATGCATGCACACTGCTTAATTTATAGGGAAGACAATAAAGGAACTCATTATTAAACTTTCTGAACTGAGAAATACAGGTCTTGCAAATTGATTTGATTTTTACATACCAGCAGTCTTTCTGTGGCTTCTTGCCCAACTGCATTACAAATGTCACCAAAATTAGCTGCACAAATCTAGGAAATAAAAAGTCATTAATAACACTGTGTCTCTTTCAAGGGCATTAGTTTGATTATCAACTCCACCATGCATTATTTATCCCATCAAACAACTGCACATGTTTTGACTCTTCCAATTTCAGCTCTGTAACTGCATCATGTAATATTAACTCATCCAAACAAAGACTCATTGGAGCAAGTGTCCATACACCACATGCCTTTGGGATCAATAGTAATAAAAGTTTCTGCATGAGGAGCATCATCTGCTCCAGTAACCACCAGAAGGGACAATAAGCCCACATGAAAGTTTAAATCATTTAGAGCAGCAGCTGTCAAACCCAAAGCAGCCCAGAACATGATACCAGGGTCAGGACTTAGGTGTACTGACAGCACTACCCTGGCTCAAGGTGGCTTAAGTGCTTTGCTGAAGCAAAGTTTAATCAAGGTCTCAAGTTCGTGCCATTTACAGGCCATTACAGAAACTCTAATTAAGGCAAAAGGGACATCCCTTCATGCTGGCAAAATCTGAAATCATTTACGATAGAGCTGTGTTAATACACCTTTTAGTCATTCTCTGTGCTTATTTAGAAGGCAATAAAAGCAGCTCAAATTCCAGCAAGTGCAGCTTATGTTGCAGACCAAGCTGAAGCTCAGCATGACCCCTAAGTCTACCCAAATATTTTAATACTTCTTGTGCTACAAGTTTCCTTTTGTACTCAAACACAAATTAAAGTAAGTCTTACACTTTGGGGATTTCTCCTTTCAATAATAACAGATTTTTTTTTAAAGAAAGGATGTCTCAAATGTCTATTACTTTTGAATTTTGAAATAAGATGCTAGAAATTATAGAAGTTGCTTCCATCCTATAACCCAGCACAGCAACTTAAAAAAAAAAAAGGTTATGCAAAACTATTAAATGTACAAGACCAATTTAACTACTGGACCCGACCTACTGGCCAAAGTCTGTTATCTGTTTCTTTACTGAACAACAGAAACTAGAACCATGTCAATAAATCAAAACTTCTCTTCCAGATGCTTTGCAAGTTCATCAGCTAAAGTTATAAATTATACAGGAAGGCATTTGAACAGCAATGTACCAATTCATTTTTAGGTGGTTTAGGGTTGGACACACACCAACCTTTCGGACTTGAAACAATTTCCCATCACTGCACAGTTCACAGAAACGAGGAAGCAGCATGTGCTCAACTGTTGTTCTGCTCAACATAGAAGCCATTTTGCAGATTATCTGAAAATCAGGAAAGGAACATGTGTAAGGAGAAGAAAATTATAAAGCTTGTAAGCACAGCCAAATATTCCTCCTGAAAATTACCTCAGAGAGCAAGATAGTGATTACAATCAAATTGATGAAACTGTTACACATTATTTGTATTTCCATACACCTGTTTTATGTAAAGCACAAACACAGCTTTACTTTAAATCATTCTAGGCCAGAACATAATATTTCTGCCTTTAATTCCTTGTCTTTTTTATCTGGTTAAATAGACTTCTATTAGTAGATTTGTTTTCAAGGTGTTTGCAATGTGGCAAACATTGGCAATTTTTATGGAGAAGACAAAAGTTCCATAAGTGGACCTCATAAAAACCACACTCTTTAAGCATATGAGAAATATAGCCCAAGCTTCAGCATGCAAGTAAGGCATTGCGCTTTAACAGTTCAGATACTTAAAAACATGCACAGATATGTAGGCTCAGATACCACAATAAAATTGAAGTTTGTCACACATCAGGAGACAAAAAAAGGGGGTGCAAGAAAAATCAGTTATTTATGTCAGCCAATGCACACTTTACAGGAATGATGCCCAGGAATTTTAGGAGTTAACAGCATCTAATTAAAGGAAGTTAGTAACAAGCTCATTAATTCAGCTTTCTCTGAGGAACCATAAGGTTCCACTACCAACACAAACCATGTTTCTGCTTTGGGTTGTATGTTTCCTCTCAGCTCCCACTTTCTGGGAGAAGTTGCTGTAATTCTTGTATTTGCAAGAGGAGAAAGCAAGAGGCTCATGCACAAGGGGTTTAATGCTTACACAAACATCATCAGATTACAGTCCTCATCCTCCTGCTTTAATTTTTCAAAAAATATTGAAGCTTTCTACCTTCACAAAATTAAGCTTTATTCCTTTCTAGGAATAAATGCTTGCCTTTGTAATAGAATGGTAAATAAGAACTAAGGAAGAGACCATTCAAGGACTTTCCTACAAATTTTCAAACTCCTAAAAGGCATCTGGTGCTCAGATGTCATCCTGGAAAATTGCCTAAGCAATTCCCAACTCCCAAACAAGGAAGAGGAAAATCTAGCTGGTAAAATATTTTACAGGTCAAGTGTCAGATATCCATGCTGAAATGTAATTACACACCAGCACTTTTTTGTGGAGTCAACTGATTTCTTGAAAGTCACCAGGCAATGTTTTTTTCAAAACACTTCAGAACTGAGATCAGGTCATATTTCTACAACATGACTGTGAAACCTGGTAAAGCAAATGTAAAGAACACTCTGGGGAATGTAACAATCCTAACAAGAACTTTTTAAAAGGCTTCCAAGGACCAGTTGTATTTTAAAGCTATTCAGCTACTATTTTGACATCATCCAGCATCCTGAAGTATAAAGATACTCTCTTTTTAAATCTGGTATTTTCAAAAATTCAGAATAAAAATTAAAGACTTGTTTAAAAAGTAAAGTAAGTAAAAATCCAAATATCTTAATGAATAAACACAAAAAGTTTGGCTTACTTTATTTAATGTCAACTCTATTCCTGGACCTCATCTTAACCACCATTAAAATTAATGTTATCAACTTACATTGACAGCTTCCACCTTGTACTCATCATCACTGTCAGGAGCAGAGAGGTCCAGCAGAATTGGACACACCTTATTTTCAATGTCACTCTGAGCCACAAGGTCTTGTTCCAGCAGTATCAGCAGTGCTTCCTGGCCTGCCTTTCTGACCTATAAACAAACACACAAAACCAGACTGTCACTATAAGAACAACATTTACAGATACCAGAACCACAAAATTTTCTATCCTTTGAATGGACACACAGGTACAAGCCAAAAAAAACCAAACAAATCCAGTATTTATTTACTTAAATATATTAAAAACCTATTACTTTTATTATCATAAGGAATTAATATTAAATACTAAAGTTTAGCATAATCATTAGAAGACATTTTACATTCTAAAAATAAGACAAAAGATGAAGTAGAAGACAGGATCTGCAAGTCATAACTCCTGTAACAGATTCTGTCCATGTACTGTCAGGCAAATCCTGAAGTTCCTATTATCTGCTGAGGGAAATATTAAAAACAAAATAAAATAAAACAAACAAACAAAAAACCAACTCAGACCTCCCTAGAGCAATACACTGAATAATCAGAGAGCACTACATAAAAGCCAGATATCAAGCAAGAATTTCTTATCTCTTCCTCATGCCTTAAATTCACTGAACCACACAGAATTTTCCAAGGATTCAACTCTTGTTGTCTGTTTTTCCTACCTGATTGTTAACATCTGTGAGATACCTCACTACTATGGGCATAAGGTATTCAAAAAATGCTGTTGGGAATTTTGGTCGACTTTCTTGTAGAAAAATGGCAATAGGAGGTATTTGTTCCATCAGCTCTGTGCGAACAGTTGGCTCTGTAAATAAAAAGTTCAAGTACATTGGTAAATATTAAATGAAGATCAGGTACCTCAAGGAAAAAAAGCGGTATTTTTCTTTATGTTTTCACAACAGAGAAAAATTAAAATAAACAAAACATAGAAATAGCATCACTGAGATTGCCTATTCTTAAAGGAGAACTGAATAAAACAGAGTAGCTTTGAATACATAATCACAGTTCAGAGACTTGGGATCAGTTCCCAAATCAATCCCATTAAATGAGATAACAAGATGGAAAATCCAGTCACCTTGAATTATATGCACAAGAACTATTAAAACATACAACTGCTCCATGCCACTTACACCTGATATAACAAATCAAATGTAACAAACTTACTGAAAAATGTTGCTTCAGGCCCTATACTAAGAATAGGCCCTTCATTTAACATACAAAATATTTCAAAAACAGAGATAAAAATGAATCTGTTTTCATTGACAGATCTTCCTGCTAGATGATTCAACTTCCTTAGCTCATTCATTGCCTTCTCAAAATCGGAAGTCAGTACTTCCTATGTTGCAATTTACATAAAATAACTTACGTAAATTAAAAAACAAACAAAAGTAAACTTTCAAACCTGCATCTTCAGAGAGCCTGACCACTATTTCCATTACTGTCAGAAAGTCTTCTTCATTGTTGCTGAAATCTCGAAAGACATCCAGAAGACCCCTGGCAATAATTTGCCTGTGGAGTGAACACAATTATTGCCTTAATATCCAGCCAATGACACTTAGATGGGATGCAAGGGGAACTTATCAAGTGTAAATAGCACAAATAAAACAGATCAAGCTCTTCTCTGAACATTTGACATACCAAGAAAACAAAAATGGAATCAAGAGATCTTGTTTAGATAACGAAGAATGAAAATCTCTTTTCATGGAAGTGTTTTATGAATTATTCAAGTAGAAATAACATCAGGCATGTATTTGGGAGAACAATGAAAGACACAGCAACATTTTAACACCCACACTGCACTCAGACTCAGGTACCAGCAAGTGTGCCTGCTCTGCCCTTACCTGTTAAATACATTATCACTGAAGGCATATTTCTCTAGACGAGCCAGTGGAGTTAAGTTATCCTGTCCAGGAATATCCAAGAATGCTGTTATCCTCATGCTATCACAGTCTGGTCCATAATCTTCAAAGCCAACTTGAACGACATGAAAAGTAACCCCAAAAAAAAAAGAAAAAAGAAATCCACGAGTCAGCAAGAGATGTTATATATAAAATACAAGAAACCAGTAGCTATTTCTTTAAAAGAAAAGTAACTGCACATCACTGGAAACAGTTTACAAAATCATCTTAAATTGTATCTAATGAAGTTGAGTGCAACACTTACTTACAGATTTGTAAATAATTCAAGCTTTAAAATTTAACTAAATTTTCAAAATCCTTGGCTTTAAACACACTTTACTTTGCCCTTTCAGTGAAGGATCCACATGCAGAGTTCAGAGGACTTAGCTGACAAAATCGCACATCACAAACTGACCAACACATTCAAAAAGAAAGTCAGTCCCATTAGAAGAAACTGTAATTTTAACAATCATAGCAAATTTCAAACTATATTGCTTTAAAACAGTAAGTTCTTATGTCTGTTTTAAAGTTCCATTTAAAAATGTGCATTTTTCTCACTGTAGTTACTGGGTCCCACATACCTAAATCAAACAGATAACTTTGGGAAAAACTTCAATTTCATGGTACTTGGGAACATGCTGGGAGCTCCCTACTGCATCTATTAACTATGGACTTTTCTGTGTGAACCCACTCAACTCTGAACCTTTTTAGTATTCACAGCTTCAGATTTTTACCCAAATATTACCACATCAACTGTTACAATTTGCCTTACCAAGTCTAACAGTCACCATTACGGACCACAGGCAGGAGGTATGACTGTGAAAAAGAAAGGGAATGGGAGAACTTTGTTGCCAAACTTATCTTAATCCTTCACTCCTACAACCAAGTGAAATAATGTGCCTGCAACACAAATCTTTGACATAAATGCTCTTATTTAAGCACTGGATATAGGAACTCCACAGAAAGGGTAGCACAGGAATAGTTAATATTGCTGCTCTGGGTTTACAAGTGTCCCAAGCACTCCTAGAGCCAGGCACACTTCTTTCACACAAATAGAGCAACTGGGATCACACTTAAATAAATGCAAATTCTGCCAACACAGCTTCTCACATGCATGAATATCTCACAAACCACCACATGTGCTGACAGTGACAACCACTGAAGACAATAAGCCACTGCTTTGGTCTAAACTCCATTAATACCCATTATAAATCACTTCATATGTTAAAAAAAACCCTCTGTTCCAAGCCTCATGTTTTTTCCAAGATTTCCTATGTAAAACTCTGCTTTCCAATTATTCAGCACAAGTCAAAACACTCTCAGAAATACAGCTCAGTAAAAGAGGAAATCATCTGTACATGCTTGGAGAAAAATGCTATACCTGCGTCTTCAGGGGGAAAAAAAAAGCAGATTGGTTTAAGGTATCCAAGGAACCCAGGTGAGTTAAAATACTACAGAAGTTCCAAATTCTGCTGTTCTTGCAGACAACATGCACAACAAGTTCAATGGATTTCAAACAAAGTAGAACTGTGGGATTAGATTAAATGTTGAAATTTCAAATGTGCACACAGATACTACAAGTGAACCCACAGCCACACAATAGGAAACAGATGCTAATTGTTCCTGGCTTTTTAGAACAATGACGTATTGCACTGACACCCTCATTTCCCCTCCACTGGTCATTATTATTTCGCATGGCTGCTCCTTACAGAAGGGTCTGTCAGGTTCAAAACATTTATCTGTACAAGTGTAAACAATTTACAGAGCCCAGGTCTGTCTGGGATCAATCTGCTCTAGGACTTGTCCCCAGTCAAAGCATCTGAAGAGGGAACAATCCAGATTTGCTGCTTCAAGGGAAACTTGTTGTATCCCTGGCAGCTCAGGGGAAGTTGCACAGCAATCTATAGGATTGCAGATTTCCCTTCTGAGGTTGCAACAAACTCTCCATACCCAAACTCTGGCAATCCTTATGTCTATGCAATTATAATACATATATAGTTGAAATTCCACACAGACCAGACACTCAGTAGCTGATTTTTGAGGTTAGTCACCTGTTACATAAAGAAAGACTGATTAAAATCAATATACTTGTCATTAGCTTTACCTACTTCCCGCCTGTCCCTAATTAGAAACACTAACAATTAAAGCTATTGGTTCACTTCAAATAGTTCAGGATTCCTACCAATTCAAATGACAATGAAATAAATCCCAGTTCTAACTTTGACTACAATACCACACCTGGGACTAATTTTGTAAACATGATGTACATGTTTAATTTTACTGCATGGAGTAGCTCCATTATTCATTTAAAGTACTTAAGCATACACCAGTGCTTCCAAGAGCAGAGAGAAAACAGAGCACCGTTACTTATGCTCAGGATTGAGAGTTAAATACCTGAAATTTTTTCCACACTCTCTCACTACACATAAGTAAGGAATAATCATGGCAGAATCCATTTTGTATTCTCTCAAAAATTTTAGTTTTCTTTTTCCATAAAATAGGACACCACGGGTACTCACAAGTTTTAGAATACACCAAGTACTATAAAGTAAATCACAAATGCTAAACTAGTATTTCTTATCTAATGTTCTTTCCCAGGAACATCTAATACTCAGTATTTTTCCCTCTAACTAGAGCAAACAAGTGAGCTTGAAATCTGTTCACCTATAAGCAGAAATAAATGTGACAGTATTCAGAGCTGAACTTGAGTTCACTGTGCTCAAAAGCTGTTAAGAGTTATGAGAAACTCAGGGTCACAGGACCTAGTGGGGCAATTCAATGTAATCACCCAGTGCCACTATTCACATTTCACAGCACAAACCAGTAAATACCAGCACCCAGCAGAACAGTTTCATCAGCTCAAGGTTATTTTCCTTCCTGGTGTTTGTAGAAGGAAAAACAAAGTCTTCAAATACTTATTAATTGCACAGAGGGCATAAATAAGCTAATTATTTCTTTGAGGTAATCCATTCTCTTATTAGAAACAAGTTTTAATATGCACTTGAATTTAGCTAGATTTTACTACAGCTTTTTCCCACATTTGGAATAAGCCCCTAGAATCCCTTTCAACACAACTGATCTTCAGTGTACATGACACTATTTCACCAATTTACTTATGCAAGTAAGACTCCAATTCCAGTGATTTATTTCACTGAGGCTTTCCTAAAACACATCCTGAACCCTTTGCTAACCTCTGCATTAGCACAACATCAGTATCTCAGTCATGGGACACCTGAACTCTACCACAACACAGCTTTTGATTCCATAATTCTAAAGATATTGTCAAATTAATGAACTTAATCAAAGAATAGCTTTAAGTCACAGAATTGGATTTTAATAAAGCTCTAAAAGGTTCATTTATTTACATGCTCATCCTGAAACGGTTACCTTCTTTTATGAATTACCACTTATGGCAAAACTGTTTTTATCTGCACATTTTTATTTACTCGAGTTTTGCCTTATAAGCATTAAGCTTCTTAATCAACTTAGCAGACTAATCTGCTACAGTCTAAACAGAACAGCCAAGGAGTGAACTCTAATGGAAAACAAACTCTTCCAGGGATGGTCCAAGGCCGTAAGAAAACTACTATGAAGTTCGCATTTGTTTCTGCTTCTCACACTTTACATGATGCTACCTACTAGGGAAAAGCAGAAATCTCAAAGACTGAGAACAACAACTAATAGAATTCCACAGAATCAGCTCCTCCCACAGAGGAAACGATCCCTGCACATCTTCCAAATGAAGGACCATAGATCCCAGTTGTATTCCAATATTTCCCCTGGTGCTCCCAAGGAACACCTTTCTCCTAAATCAGCTTTCTCACACTCAGCTGGGAAGGTGGGCAGGATGGGTCCACCTGTTTCACATTTCCAAGCAGTATCAAACAATAAATATCTTGTGGCAAACAAATAAAGTTTCTCACAAGAAACGAATACAAGTACCATTTTTCTTTTTAAGTAGAAAAGTCAATCCAACATCCGACGCAATGAAACCACCCCACAGAGAGAGCTGCTTTATAAGGCAACAGAAGTTCGCATCACTGCTCGTCAAAGCTTTAACTCCTGAAATCACAGCGCTTACCAGGCTGGTTCAGGTCTGACAGGTATCCAGCTCCCCTGCAACACAGTCCTGGACTACAGAGTTGTGTGATGGAGCTGTTCCTTGCTCTGGGACCGGGGCACGGTACTCAACCCAAACTCACCCAGTTTGTGCGATCCAACCGGGGCACACACGGCAATCTTCCCTTCATCCCGAGATGCGCTCGCAGCACATCCCCGGGATGCAGGAGCAGCTGAACACGCGTCCTCACAGCCTCTACAGCTTTGCAAAGTTTCACCGCACCTGAGCAATCTAATTATCCTAATTCCCACCGACAACAGGAGCGGGGCTGATCCCCTCATCCCCCCGTAAGCCTTTCCCAGGCTCGGGCTCTGCCGGAGCTGCTGTTTACACCGCGCCCAGCGGCCACTGGAACCAGCGGGGATGGTCCCAGCGCCCTAGGAACCTTCACCTGCCAGAACTGCCTCAAAATCCTCCCCTCGCCCTCACCGGGGTCAAAATGCGGAGAGGGAAAGAGGGCGACAGGAGGACCCCGGGGTGGGAGCGCGGGCCTGAACAGGGAGCGGAAAAATAAAAAGCAGTTACTCACAATCATCTAAGTCATCCTGCAAATCCACAAAATACAAAGGGATCCCTACAAACAAAAAACAGAAGAGAGATACCAGGGGGTTGGTTTCGGAGGGACGATGGCAGCCCCAGCTGAGCCGCCCGCCTGCCGGTCCCACTTACCGGCCATCTTGGAATGGACATGGGCGAGGAGGAGGAGCGGGAGGGCACAGGGAGGAGCCGCGGGTGCTTCCTGCCGCCGGGTCAGCCCCGAAACGCCACCGGGTGAAGGAGCAGCGGCTGCCGGGGGTCGAGCGGCCTCTTTGCACCCAAGGGGGATAGCAGCGAGCGGGGGGCACGGGCGGGGACTCCGGCGGCCGCCCAAGATGGCGGCGCGTCCGCGCAGCCTGAGGAGGAGCGCGGTGTGCGGGTAACCGGGGCGGGCGGGGGGCGGCCGCCGCGGGGACGGCG